CTTTTGTTATTACCCAAAACTGGTCTGTAACAAAGCGTTATGTGAATCATTGTGTGGTCAGATGATAGAAACCATGAATACATCTGAAGCTGGTGAATTTGAGATTTGTACTGGGTGTATCACACTGATGATAGATGTTAGTCACTGCAATGAAGTGAGTGTAGCCTACTTGGACTTATGAAAGTTGTTTCCTCCCAGCCCCAACACTATTGCTGCAGGCAAACCACTGTCCCTCCATGACCCTCTTAATCCCAGAGTGTGGGAAGGGTAGGGGTAGGCTTAGGTGTTAAATATAGTCACTCTAACCTCTTAGAAGTTTAGGCAGACTGGGAGTACAGGCACCTGTGGTATCTGTCCTTGTGTAAATCCGTAGGAGATAATATTGGATTTTCTTTCCTATATGGCCTAGCCTCCTTTAGACAAAGCTGTACAAACGCAAATTCAGTGAAGTACAGATCAGGCAGGTGCCTCTGTCCACCATTTTCTATGTGCATTTAATATTGTGAATTGGTCCATCAAGGCTTATATGTTAAATATGAACAGTCCTTAAAAAGTCTGGTCAATAATGAAGAAGTTTGACATTTTTGCTTCATATGAAATTAGAGGCCAAAGGAACTCAAAAAGCATTTTCTAGAAAATATGTGGGAGTATTGATGTTTTTTAAAGTTATTTGCCACATATTTATTAAATGAATGAACCATGATGTTGGCTAGTGTAGAAATAGAAATCATATTCGCAAAATTATTTCTTTAGCAGATTATTAACATCTCTTTATTTAGTTTAATGCAGTTTTCTTTATGTCATGTGACTTGTGAGAGAAGAAAACAAATGGAAACTATAACTAAGTAAATAAGTACTTGAACTAAGTAATTAAGTACTTTTTGTAAAAAGTAAAATTTCAGTTAAGCTTATTTAGTGACTAAAAATGATGTGGGCCTACAAGTTACTTGTTGATGCTCTATCACGTAATAATGAGACTGTTCATACTTTTGTAAAATTGTTAGGACAGCTAATAAACATTAAATATTTCTCTATTCATAATCGATGGCATCATACATTTTTTAAAGGTCATGTGTGAATTGAAACAAAAGGTATTTGTAGTGGGGCATAAAGCCAAACAAGATAAGAATCTTTTATTTTAGTTTGAAAGTTTTGGAAGTCATTGAGGCTTAAAAAACAATGTTGTTGGTCAGAGGAGGATTAGTCAGACAATACAAAATAGACACAGAGATAGATAATAGCATCTGTCAAATATAGTTCTTCCCATCTCATGAGCACCAAACAATTATTACTAAAATAATGTGTGGGGTAGGCCTATTAATTTTTGCTTGGATCTCAAGTTGTAAGTTGGGATTATGAATAATTCAGCATCAAGAATAATTTTTTTTATACATGTTAATTTTCTTACAAGTCAGATAAACATGTAGCAGTAAGTATCATGAAACCTTTGTTATATTATTATTATTTCTTACAGTTGATTGATTAAGTTAAACTCCTCGTTATAAAAATGCTCCAAGTTCATTTAATATTCATGTATTATTTTGTAGAATTGAATCAAGCTCTTCTATATTTTTTGAAGGATGGGATTATGTCAAATGAGGAAAAAGCAAAAATAAATGCTTCAAACAATGGAATGGAAACCCTTTTAAAAATATTGAGACATAAACCATTATCTTCCAATCCGTACGAGTAAGTATTTATTGTGTAGAATTTTAATTATAACCTAATACAAAATATTTGAAAATGTTCATATGCATCATTTATACAATTTAGATCATCAATTTCAGAAAAAAATATGCATAAGTAATAAGCAAAACATTTTGAAATTTTGAATTTACAAATTTTTTAAAATAAAAAAACATAGACCAGTTACACCTAGGGATTCCAGAGATTATTGTGAAAGGCAAAAGACTCTGTGAGTATAATAGTATTGAAAAATGATCAATTAAATTTTCATTTAGAAACAAAATAAAAAGGTTACTTCTGGCTCTTTTAACAATTATACAATGCCTTACAAAATGTAGTACACTAATAAATAGTAATAAAGCATAAATACAAAATAATAAGTCTAATAATGAAAAGCCAATAAAAAAATCATAAATATCTAAATAATAGTTTACCTTATAGTGGTACAATTTAGTTTTACTATGATATAGACCAGGCATTTGTGTCAAAATGGGATGAAACGGATAGGCAGATGCTAAAAAATCCAGTTTCACAGTTTCTTCTTCTGTTTATCTGTCCGTTGTTTTTCTTAAGGATTTGCAATCAATTCCTCCAACTATTCCTACTGTTAATTATATAAAGGGAGCTGGCTCAACTATGTCAAGAAGAAGAGCTGTATATATTAATTTTACCCCTTTTCTTCATTATTATGGTTTTAAAATTTAAAAAAATGTCACAATTTCATACTATTAAATTATGTTGTTGTTTTTTTTAATATTAAAACTGTTTTTAGATGCAGTTGTTGATAAAACAATTCAATTATTTGGAAAAAAAGTTTTATCTACATCTTTTTTTTTAGAAGTTTTTAATTTATATTATTGTTTCAGTGGACTTATCAAAGCACTGAAAGTAGATAACTTGTATGACCATGTTGCTGAGGCTTTGGAAAAGACAACTGCCACTTCTGATCCAAACCTTGTCACTAAAGGTAAGACCACACAAAAAGTATGATAAATATACTTTGTTAATGTAATTTTAAATAACATATTAAGCTCCTGTTCAAATGTTTGCCCCAACAAATTTGAAACACCTCATGTTCATGAAACATAACATTTTGTCAAAAGAACAGAATTTACATCTTTCTTTCTCAGGTGATCCAAATGAACATAACAGTCTAGTCCGAAAAATTCTTTTAGAGTGTTACACAAATAAGCCAGGAAAAACAAAGCTCAGTGATATCATGCAAACTATTCAGAAAAATGTAAAATGCCCTGGTGGACTTCAATGGAAAAATGACCAACTGTCTGAATTTGTTTGTGAAACATTTGGTGATTCTCAGGTGACAAAAGAGCGACTCTCAATTGGTGGAGAAAAGAAAAAAATGTATCCTTTGGTTTTGGCATATTTTACTGAACATTAATTTTGAATTTTTTTTAAAAATAGTTCCATAATTTAGTTTACATTAATAAGAAATCTCTGCAGTTATTTGAAGGGATCATCCAGAAAGTACTTACAGTATATACATAAATCTTCAAATTTTTAAACTATTATTTGATAGTCAGGGTGCATAATATATTTACCAAAAAGAACCTTATTGGGAAATCAAGCATTTGAAGCTAATTAAATTTTGTGTGCATTCTAATGCTTATTATAAGGTGATAAATCTGTATCAACTTTGTCATGATTTTATCATTTTCTGCTATGGCACGTAAAATTTATTATACATTAAAAATGTGTCCTTAATTTGGTTAGATATATTTTAAATGTAATTCCTTTAGTCAAGGAAACAAGAAATACAGAAGCTGCTGTTGGAGCTCTGCCTCCAGTTAATAATCAAATCACTGAAGTTTCAGAAATTATCAAGAACTCAGGTGAATTTTGATCCAAAATCCTTTTTTTCATCAAAAAATTTATATTCTTAATACTCTAATTAAAAGTGTAAAATTTCCCTATTTTTACTAACTAAAAAATAATAATATTGGGTGGGGTTTTAAAAAATGTATATGCACATATATCACCATTAAATCTTCATATTTATTGTTAAATGGGTAAATTTTAAGTAATAAAATCTAATTAATTGAAAAAAATAATAAATTTTTTGATGTGATATAAATTTGAATTAACAAGGTAAAGAATGATGGAATAAACCTTGTCTATGCTAGGTAAATAATAATATTTCTTAATTTCACAGCAAAAGTTACAAGTTTGGTGTACGGTAACTATGAAATAAATACATTTTTCTGGAAGTCCTTGTAAACTTTTTACTATTTTTACCTTCCCCAGATATACCCCATAGTCAAGACATACCCAATAAAGAAATGACTAAATTGAACCCATCAGAATTAAAAACGTATTTAGCTGAGTTTTTTTCTCTAAAGGAACTCAAAACAGATTTACCAGATATGTTTGAAGAGCAGCAGATATCAGGAGAAGTTCTCATGGCTATGTCAGAAACAGATGTTAAATTGATATACCCTAAACTTCCATTTGGGGTTCTCAAAACACTGTCAGCATTGATTTTGGAAGTAAATGGCAAAAAAATTGCTGCACTGGAGCTAGAAACTAGAGAACAACTTGAGAAAGCAAGAATGTTATCAATAAAGATTGAAAAATTAAGGGAGTTTAACTCTGATGTATCTGATACAGATTCATATGTAGAAGGCAGAGAAGTTCTTATAAAAATTTCTTCTATCAGAAGAAAATTAAAGGCTGTTGCAAATTTCCATCTTGTACCTGGTTTAGACAGTGAAGAAACTAAAGATTTTTCTTTAGAAGAAATGGCATCAAAAGCTATTGAATTTATTTCTGCTTGTGCCAATTATCGCCAAAATGGAACCATCTATTTTGGGATTGACCCAGATAATAGAGAAATTGTTGGGTTAGCAGTGAATAAGGAGGAAGTTGAGATACGTTTAAAGCATTATATTGATTTAGCGTTTCCAGAGGAACCACTAAGATCAAACATTACAAACACCATGCGTCAGCCATTTTTTATACCAGTGATGGATTCAAATTATGAGAGGACCTCAAAATATGTTGTAGAAATAGATGTTGTACCTTCTACCTGTTGTCTTAAGGGGGCCATAAAAACAAAACTGAAGCATCTAACTCATTTTTCTAGAGCTGACAAGAAAAAACGTAAATATGGATACTTCTGCTTTGATGAAGGCACCACAGTTCCCAAATTGTTGGAATATCATAAACTAGAAGAATTCTTAGATCAAGTCAAATTATCAGCTGATTTAAGGCAAGCCGAAGAAGACAATGTGTTCTCAAATACACCAGAGAATCTTAGGCAGAAACTCCTCAACCTACTGACAGGTGGGAGGGACAAGCTAGAAGATGCAATCTACCCTTTTCTTGTACTCAGTCCCTTGGATCCTAAGATGGATGAAACTTTCATCAGGGATCATATGCAATTTATCAAATGTTTACAGACTGATGTCGTCTTTGATTTTGACCCAGCAGGATCTTCGAATGGAATTTACCATTATTATGATAAAACTCAAGGAGAGGTAATGACAGTGTTAACATTAGACAACTTTGTTGCTCCAGATAACAGTAAAGATTTTAAATCCTTGACTAGTAATCTTGACTCTGATAAAATTCCATGGGTTTTTTGTAATGGTTATGAACCGACATCTGCTAAAACAAGAAATCCAACAGAATGGAACAAACAAATTCGCTCTGCTTTTCAGAAAGCTCTAATGCACTTTACAAAAAGTCGAAGTAAAGATCGCATCATAATTATTATTTGTCTCTTCTCTAAAAATTATGAAACAATGCTTGAGGGTTGTGAAGAAATCCTGACTAATTTTTCGGATCAGTGGGTTGTCTACGCAGAATCAGAAAATGTTTCAGAAATGTGGAGATCAGAAATGATTCAAAGAAAAAAAGTAGACGAGAAAGATGCCTTTGAGCGGTTAGTCATTGGATTAACATGGGAACAGGTTAACAACACGATTATTGATGTGACGCAACGTACTGAGACATACGGATGTATTTTACCGCAAGCTGCTGGAACTTTCACCAAAAGTATACCTGAGAAAAAATTAAAGTACTGGTACGACGTGGAGGTAGTTTCTGCTGCTGATCCTGATGTAGATGATCACAGAAGTCAGAAGGTTATGGAGAGTTTTTATAAGGGAGAGTCTGTTGATTGGTTGAATTTTTGGTTTGAAGGTCAAGTTCTCAGAAGGTCACACCATGGCCCACTTTTAGATATGGTGAAAAAGGCATTGGTTGATGGGGATAAGGAAGAAAACAAGGTTTCAACTGTTGTTCTTTTCCATCATCCAGGATCAGGGGCTACAACCTCAGCCAAGCAAGTGTTATGGGAACTTAGGAAGGAGTTTCGCTGTTGTGTCATAAAGAATATAACAGAAGAGACATGCAACCAGTTATTAGAAATAAGAAGATACTCCGAGCCCAGCAAAACTCCTAAACCTATTTTAATATTGGTTGATAATGAAGATCCAGAAAAGTATCATCAGTTAAAGCAGAGTCTGGAAAAGAAAAGTCGAGATCAGTGCAAGGAGAATAGTGAATCATGTAAAGTATTTTGTACAATGCTTTTATGCATCAGAAAAGCATCTTTACCAATGCAAGTTTTATCTCACCAAATTAAACTGGGACAAAAGCTGACGAAACAGGAACAGAAATTATTTGGGAAGAAGCATAAACAATTGACATCTGACTTTGAAGCAAATCAAGACAGCATTGATCCAAAGTACCTGATTTCATTTTATATTTTGAAAAATGATTTTAGCCCAGAATATATTTCCAAAGTTATAAAAGATTTTGTTGGTGATGTGAACGATGACAGGGAACTTAGCCTTCTGGCATATATTGCCCTCCTCAACAAATACGATCCACATTTTAGACCAGTTCCTGTTTCATGTTTTGATGCAACATTTAGGTTTCAGTTCCCTATCAAAAGGCAAGCCACTGTTGAGGCTCTGAAACGAAGCACTAACTGGGAAGCCAATTTGAGTCAAGCTGTTCAAGTGTTACTTAATATGTCGCCTTTGAAAAAATCTGGATCCTCTGATGCAAGAATTTCTCTACGTGTCCATCACAAACTCATCGCAGACAATCTACTTGAGTACTTGAAGAAATTCAGAGGTAATTTGGATGAAATAATGTTGAGACTTATAAATTCTGTAGTTTTTGAACATGGCACTGAAGATTTTATAACACTGGAAAACATTGTAGGAGATATTTTGAAAAAAAGGGAGTTTAATCAAGAAGATGGTAAAAGAGAAATGTTCTCTCCCTTTATCACCCAAGTTAATGAGGAAGTGGGAGAGGAAGCTTCCTTGAAAATCCTATGTGAACTGTTTGACAAAAGCAATGACCCTTTCACTGCTCAACAAATTGCTCGCTTTTATTATTCCTCAACAAAGTGGGAGAAAGCTGAAAGTTATGCTCAAAAGGCAATAGACATTAAACCTAAATGCTCCTATCTCTGGGACACTTATGGCCAAGTCTATAAAACTCAGCTCATTGAAATAATGAAATTGGCAAAAACAGCTGATAAAAATAAGAAATTTGACAACCTCTTTGTACACAATGTGATCTCTCTGGCACAGAAAGCAATTGATTGCTTCAAGAATGAACAAAGATTATCAGAAATGAGTTCATCTTTTCCTGAAAATAGTGTTGCAGGCTATTTCGGTGAGCTGAAAACCCAAATTTTGCTACTCCGTTTGTTGGAGAGATGTCAGTGCTTTAAGACTCGCGGTGAACTCAGCAAATGTTTGGTGGAAAAAGATTTCAGTGATCTCAAATTCCTCAAACCAGAGGAAGTTTCTTTCTTGACACACCTTGAAGGAAACTACATGCAGACCATCCGTGTTCTTGATGAACAGTATTTGCAAGTCAGAGAAGATCCGCAGTTTGATGTTGCTTTGTATTCAGGTACTTTTGGGCGAGAGATGCAAAACTTAGTGTCTTTGATGCTCAGCTTTCATGATTACTTTGGTACTTCAAATGATTACACTTATATAAATACCCTACCTGCACCCATCGCAAGCATGCACAGGTGGAGAGTTGCTTTAAAGCATGGCGCAATGTCACTTAATCTGCTTTTGCAATACCGCACTATGCAGTCAAACCAAGGTGAGAAACAGCTGACAAAAAACCTGCTCATCATTTATAAAATGATGTTGCCCAATGTATTATCAACAGATAGTAACTTTGAATATTTAGTGGCAATTCTAAATGGTGTCATTATGCTGGTCATTGATGGCTTAGTGGGGAAATGTTCAGGCCTCACATATGAAAAGGTGTTAGAATGGAGTAGCAAGTTGTATGATTGCAAACCAACTGATAGTAAGCGTCCTTATCTAGAGCCTTACATGTACTTTGTCATGTTTCATTTTCCCTCCCCAAAAAGAGAAGGCCATAATATTTGCCCAGTGAAAAAACTACAGGATGCTTGTGAAAACTGGAAGAAAACTTATGAGCTAAAGTTTATGAACTCAGAGGCAAAAACATTGTTCTATCTGGCCAAAGGCGATCTGCTGATGGATTTGGTTCACTCTGACACACTTCCAATGAAAGCAAAAGATAACTGGGAGAATCCAGAGATAAGGTCATATTTGGCTTTGTATTCTGGCACTGTGGAGCTGGGAGGCAGGCGGGTCAACATAAACATAGTTAGGGATGGAAATACATGCAACTTACAGATCCCAACTTCATATACAGTGAAAAAAGATCTTTGGCAGAAGGAGACACATTTCTTCATTGGATTTAGTTTTGCTGGACCTAAGGCTTACGGCATCCCACAAGATCCCCCAGATATTGAAGCAAAGAAGCCATCAGAATTATGGAAAAATCGAGTGCCCTCTTCCAAAGGATCCAGTTCCCCTTCCATAAGAACCAATAATGGCTTTCAATATCCTGGTGGTTATGATGGTGGGTCTTCACACATTGGCTACATCCTTAGTTTGAGGACACAACTTGATGGTAGCAAGGTGAGAGTGTTGTTTTTGTTTGCCAGCTTAGAGATTAAATTTAGTGAGCCATAATTTTGATTAATGTATGAGATATTTGAATAATGTTTCTAATTCCATGGATCTCTTGAAATAATTGATGAATATATCTAGTTTAAAAAAAAATTAATAACCAGAATTTTGTTGGTGCATAAATAATATGCTACGGGTCAACTTGTGAGTAGACGAAGGGAGGAAACCATTGTAAAGGCATACTTGATTTTTTCCCCCAAACTTAATTGTACCGAAAGCATTTCTCCTTTAAATCTTTGCATAATTGATACCAGTTGAGTTAATATGAGAATCCATTCATTAATTTTGTTCTATTCATGTGTTGATGATGTAAAGAAAACTAAATTTATCTTATATAACGAATGTAAACAAAAATTCTTACTTTATTTAGTGTGAGATCAAAGTTAAATTTAGATGTTCAAAATTGTTAGATATTTGAATTTCAGTCCACACTTATTGGAATGTACATCAGTACATGATTGCTAATAAAAATTAACCTTTTTTTTTTAAATCCTAAATTTGATTTTAAAATTTGGTAAAAAATAGTTACCTCTATTTGGTAAAGCACACCAACACAAAAGTATATACTATGATTTACTATGGCTTAACAGAAAGAAATATCCTTGAAAATTTTCATAATAATAAATAAGCAGCAAAAGATGATTAGAAATATTGCAGTTAAAAAACACTTCAGCAGATTTAATTGCAAGTAAAAAGTTAGCACAAAAAATATTTATAATTATTCATATTTTCTAGCAAATCACGAGTTTGTTGAATATGTTTTTTTTTTTTTTAATTAAAAGGCTCTAAGTATCCATGAAGCAAATTACATATACCCTTAAGCTGTGCTTAAAAAAAATATTATTTAAAATTTTTTAAAAAATCTTTTACAGAGTGGTGGAAGAGATGTTCTTGAGCAAAAGTGGTATGGCCAAGTTGACATAGTTTTAAATGACATTGAATGAAAAACCAGGTTTTCTTAATGTTACAATGAGCAGTTGGTCATTCTCAAAATGGATTCTTTAACACATTTTCATTAAAAAAAAAAAAATATCTACCTGTATATATGTACTGGTACATAAAAATCACACCTAAATGCTGTCAGGATTTTAAAAATCATTTAATCATTGAAAAACTAGTCATTTTTGCAAGTCAACAATGATGGAGAAATTATAAGAGGTACAGGTACTGATTAAAATTTCTTACCATTGATAAGAATTTCTTTCATTTTCTGCTATTTTTTTGAGAATATCACAGACCTTTTTACCCTCAAACTCTTAAAATCGTACAATATCATCACAAAATCGTTCAATACAATATCTTAATAGTAACAAAATAAACATACAGTTTATATAATGTATACACCTCAAAATTGTACATTGTACGCCAAAATCCTAAGAGTAAACAGGTCTGATATCATATTTTATTATACCAAAAAAAAATGATGTTTCAAATGTAATTTCTTAGTTCAGCTATCTCTCTTTGTGAGACCAAACTGATTTACAAACAATGGACATTTTTCTAGCTGTGTTTTATATATAATTTTAATATTTGATGTGACACAGTGAATAATTTGTTGTGACCTTTAATTCATGCAGTTAGAGATGTGTCTTATCCGACCTGTTTTCAGATTTCAAAAGATTCTCCAATTTCTTTTTTTTTTTTTAAAGTACTATGTAAATTTTGATTAATGTAATGAGTTAATCACCATGACAGGATTAACTTACTGATCTCAAAAATCTACAATATTTGATTTTTGTTGCGGACCTGTGAAGCCTAAAGCATATTTTGCATTTAAATTCTCCCAGCACATTCATATATAAAATATGGATTATTTGTTACATTTGCTAGGGGGAATGTAGCCTTTGAAAAAAATTTAACTTAATTATGTAATAATAGATTTATTTTCAGAGAGGGAATATATAATTGGCTCACTCTCTCCTAGATAAATCAAATATGATGAATTGTTTAAAATTTTTGACAAATCTTTATGTACTGGTATAATTTTTAATATTTTATTTTGTTATTGTATTAGAATTACTGTGTGAGATAAGAAATTGCATTTAAAACTACCATAAAGTGCTTTCTATCATTGTTTAAAAAATATTTTGATTGCTCTGAAAACTGTGATAGCTTGGAAAAAAACATACATATTGTACATAAAGCAGGTGAACATCACCACATTGAATAATTTATAGGCATAACATCAGTAGTTCTCATACTTTTTGTTTTGCCAATTCCTGACAATGTATGTGCTTCAAAGACAACCTCCACCTGATGTACTGCAGCTGGCATGCCTAGGAGTTGTCAACATAATATTCTTATTTGAAGACCAGATTCAAATAAAACTGTTTTAAGTTTCAGTTATTATAAACGGTAAAAAAGCAATAATTTTAAATTAGGAGGGACTCGTGTTATTGAAAAATGTTGTGTTGATGAAAAAGTGATTCAATGTAATTTTATAATTTTAAAGTTTGTATTATTTGTCCTTATTCAAATATATAAATGAAGATAACTTGAGTTTCCTAGACTTAAATGTTTGTACAAAAGACCAAATTATGAAATCAGACTATTTTCATGCAGAAGCTCAGAACGAAAAATAAGACCAAAGTTTTTTTTCTTCATCTGGATTGTCATAAATCCAAAACTTGATTACCATGAAATTTAGTGTAGAGTCCATTGTCATTAATTGTATGAACTGGTTAAATTATGTTGTTTTTGTATTCCAATGTTTGAAAGAAATGCATTTGAAACCTATAGTTTTTAGAGTAACATTTAAATTGATCAATCTGTGATTGAACATGTCCTAGAATAAAAAAGCTCAGAAGAGACTTTTCTACAGTGTACATTGGTCTACAGTCCTCATTCAGTTATTATCATCATGTTGGTTTATTATCTTTTAACTCTTAAAATGTCTGAAAAATACAAGTACATAAGTAGATCAACAAGAGTCCAGATAATTTATATTCAAATTTAGTGAGTCGCAGACCAAAGGTTATTGTTATCTCATTTCATCAAGTTAATATTTCAGAGCCTGTTTGTTATGCTCTGATACTGTGTTTTTGTTTTTCTCATTTAGAACATTCCTATAGGGCAAATAAGTATCTCTGTTATCCCAAATTTCATAGTTGTTTTTGCATATTTGTGTTGTCCACTGATGTAGCCTTTCTGTTGAAACAATAGTTAGCCATGTATCTTTTTAATCATAGATAACATCTAAGTTTTTATTGAGTTGGTTTCATAAAATTTCAAGACTAAGATTTTTAAAAATTAGTCTGTTAATTAATAGAGAGAAATTTTGGTTCATTAGCCTTCTCACAAACCTCAAGGCCCTCAATGACTGTTTAGTGGCTGGGGACTAACTTTGCAACTAAATAATGAGTCTTCAGATTCTCAGTTACAGTCACTTGACAGAGTGCGACACTGATTAGTCATATGAATGAGAGAAGTCTAAAAGTTTGTCAGAGGCAGTCTTTGAGGGGCTATTTATCTTTTTTGTGTGCATAATTTAACACACATTCTACAGGAGAATGTTTGTCATCTTTAACACACTCTTGGCCAGCTGTGAAATATTCAAACCATTGAAAAACCTGCACTGAACTTAAGGAATGTTTGATAAAAGCCAAATTAAGCGCGGGGGGGGGGGGGGGGGG